ACACACACACACACGAAGCATCAGGATGCTGCCTCATGTCTGTGACTGAGGAAGCACATGATAATCCTAACCCTTTGTGAAGGCACAAAACATATTTAGGCAGCAGAGATGGATTATGTCACATCAAATTAACACAGAGCAACTACAGGAACATTACTCCCTCCTTTTTAGACTTTACTTGAGTCTCTTTGTTGAGGATTTTAAGCTTTAGTATGAAATTAAAGGGTGAAATGTTTGATATGTAGGTGCAGGGAAACAATGTATATATAACCTTGACCTTTGTAATTTTCAGAAATGAACTGTGGAAAATGTCAGAAAAGGTTTACATGTGAAGAACGCAGCAGGAGATTGTCCAGGTCAAACACATGCACAACATCAGGACAACTGTGCGTCTTGTTTATCTAATGATTCTACTAAAGTCAAACTAGCAGGAACACACTGTGGTCGCCAAGCAAATCTTGTTCTGTTAAGACAGATGGCTGACCAGTCACAGCAACAGAATCCAATTATTCTAATGTTTGACTGCGTGCACAGAAATACATCCAGCTCGTCTAAATGCAAGTGTGTTTTTCTCTGTGACCGCCGCTGCTTCAACAGGTGATGTATCCATTCCTCAGTTTCAGTTTTCTGAGGGACCCCACAACCAAACAGCGTGACACACACTCTGCATCATCTCAGTGTTTGTTCTGTCCCGAGCCGATGTGTTACGGGAAGACACCTCATGTCCTCTCTCCTCCTCGGCTCTGACACGCACTTCAGTTTGCTGAGAGGCCTGTTAGTCTGTTACAGTCTGTGTAAGGTTTACATGCTTTTATGTTCAGATAACACTTTCCTTACACTGCCCTTTGCTGCAGCTCCTCTTTTCAGCCTCTGTCTGAATCTCTTGGTCTCACGCTTCCAGGTAATGTGATAATGTTTTATTCATGTTACGCAGAAAGATCATGATCCATTACACATGATCAATCAAACAGAGGAAGGAGAAAACTAATTGACTATCTTGCTGGCTAAGTGGCTAGGAGTGTGTTTTCCCTTTGTTTGCCCCAAAGGTTATAGCAGGTAAAGCAAATATGATGCAACTAAAAAGCAAACGAGATCAAACGTCCTGAAATTGGGGACTTCTCTGAGTGCAAACATTGTTCCACATTATATCTTTAAACTTTACTTCGGTGAAGACAGCTCTTACATTTGTTTCTGAAAAATTGTCTCAAGTCTTTGACATTTCCTGCAGCAGCAGGTTGGAATAAACAGAAGAAGATCTGGGAGGTACACTGAGTGGTGAAAGCTACCAAGGCTGCACTGATAATGAAAAGTGTGCCAGCTACAGAAAATCCCACCGCTACATAAAAGCCTGTCAGCCTGGACCCTGGACAGAACCCGCACATTAAAATAAACGTAGAAGAAAATATTCTACAATCACTGTTTTGTGTTGAAAAATTGGTGTAGACAAAGATGCGTAAAAACACATCAAGGTATGCAAATGAAAATGTCAACCTCTAAGCCCCCCCTGTTATTATTATAATATTTATAATCACAAGAATTGAAAAGCATGACACTGAGCACCTGAGGCACAAGTGAAATCGCTGAAGAGGAGAAGGAGAGAGAGGATTCATCTTTCATATCATCATTCTTAGTATATTTTCTCCGTATTTGTCATAACCAGGTTTTATTTTGTGTGTTTGTATTTTAATCCTTATTTTGTGTGTTTGAAGTGATTGTGAGTGCTGTGTATTACACCCCCTGTGTTTTTGCCAGTAACAGCAGCAGTGATGTGGGCAGTTTACTGGCATAATCAGCCAATAAACAGACTAATTACAACAACACATCTGGAGGGGAAAGTGAATGGTTCGCAGATTAGCTGAGGACTGCGGCTGCCAGGAGGGCAAAACTGCGTCAGTACAGCCGTCGCAGATAATAACAACGCTCAGTGGTTTGAGATGTGAGAAGTAGTAATGGAAGTGAGTCATCCAGTCAGTAACATACTGGTTTCCAGAGCCATGAATGCTCTAATATTAATATTTACTGATCGGGGGAAAGAGCTCTAAATGTTTGTTTTATCTAACTGATTCTTTTGACTTTCAACAATGTTGGTACAAGTCTTTCTGATTTAAATATGACTAAGAGACAGATGTTAAATGCCGAGAAGGAATTTTTTCTAGCTGCTTCAACGTGTTTCAGGATGAATCCCGGGTGCCTGAGGCCTCAGGTTCAGCTGACTACAGGTGCCTGTCATGGTTTTTAAAATCACTTTGCTGCCATGTTGTCATTATGTCATGTTGACCCCTCTCCCTCTCCACTGCACTGAATCCTGTGTAATTAAGCAGAAAACTGAGTCCCCCTGCAGTGTGTGTGACTGAAAGAGCCTTGTGGCGATAGCTCCAATGTGCGAGTGTATTCATGTGCCTGTCTGTGTGCGTTTGTGCACTTGCCATGAGGCAACAGTGGGGGTGCCAGCCTCGTTGCCATAGCAGCCCGAGATGTGGTCTGGTCCCCTGCCTGAGGAGTAAAATCACAAACACACAGATGCACGTTCACACAACCGGAGCATTTAAAAACAGCGTAAACGTTAACTGCCGGCCATTAATTGAAGAGAAAATGATATAGCAGTAAAATGGAGGTGTAATCGTGGAGTTAATCCAACTGCCTGTGGCTCTGTCCCGCAGAGATGATGGTCAGATCATGTAAGGTCACCACCAGTTATCTGATGTGGCCTGAATTTGACCAGTCTCTGCTGGTAGGGAATAAACCCAATGTAGTAAAACTGTATAAATATATTAAAAGAGTGCACTCTGTTCTAAATATAGATAAAGAAGGTCAAGATGTTTCTATACATACTGCTGCTCTACAACGTCAAAGTGCAGTTTGTAATAGAAGATGTACTGTAGACCTGGAATGAATCCTAAGCTCTGTGTGTGTGTGTTTTGTTCAGCACAGAAGCCCCTTCTTTTTATTTTCTCAAATGGATCAAGAGAGTTTTCTGATTCAGTTAAATGCCAAGAAAAGAATAATAGGCAGGATGTTTGGCCTCTTCAGTAAAAACAAGAGGCCATTAAAGTAGAGCCCCCCCCTTTCTGCATCAGTTGAATATGATTCATCACTGCTGAGGGAACCAATTGTTTATTGGTCGTCTTTTTTTTAATTTTTATGGCCAAGTATTGAATTCATTTGATAGAGATATTGGGATGTCTAAAAGAATCCTGCTTAGTAGAAAACACACACGCGCATGCACACACTAACAGTGCCAGGTGAGTCACCGGTGGGCTTTGCATCTTATATTCATATTCCGTTCTGAAGATCCATTTCTCCACCCATCTGTTTCTTTTCTCTTGTGGTTTCCTCCTCATTTCCCCAACGCTCAGCCGCCACCTTCACCATCATCATCTCTCTCCCTATCTCTCTCTCTCCCTCCCTCTCTGCATGTGTTTTCTTCCGTATTTTATTTCCGGTTCGTATCTTGTCCGTCATGTGTGCATCTCTTTCATGACCCCCTCCCCACCCCCTTCTTCTCTGCCTCTCATATTTGTAAGGCTGTGACACTGGAAACTAAACGAGAGCACCAAGGTGAACTGTGAGCTGTTCATATTCCACACGCTCCAGTTACTGCTACTACTCACATGCTGCTGGTTAAAGAACCTTTTTGAGTTTGGTATGTTTTGAATGAATCTGGCAGAGCAGCTGTGTCTCAGTTATTTGTTAGTGCTGCCTGCTGTTTATCTGCTGCAGCTGTATCTCTGTTCTGGTATTAAAGATCCCATTTGCAGCTGCTAGTAACATGTGATTTGTATGTGGGCCTCTGAAGTGGATAAAAGAGTTACCCTAGTTATTATAAAATTGCTCTTCCAAATAGTTTAGAGGGTATAATCAAAAATCAATGCAGAAGAGGTTTAGACACCATTGCTTGTTCTCATCTGCATCTTTTTGTTGGTTGGACTATTCAAAAACTACTTAACCACTTTCCACCAGACTCGGCAAAGGGACAGAGCCCAGGAAGATCCCATAAAATGTTGGTACAGATGCGGATTATCATTAAGGATTTATACAAAGATTTCTTACATTCCTTAAACTAGTTTTTATGACAAATGAATAATTTAGGTTATCAGACTAGTTTAATTTTTATATTTCTACTGTAGGAACTAGAAAATCATGTTATTCAGCTATGGTGAAGATGCGCTCTACTGAGTGCCAATCTCATTTCTAATATGGGTTAATCTCTAGAAACGCTAGATCCTACATTTTGAATAATTCATCTAAACAGCATCTTTCCTCAGATGTTCCTTGAATGGTAAACTCTTCACCTATAGTTTGAAACAGAAATAGTCAGATGTCAGTATTGTGGTTAATGGTCCGTTGTAAGTAAACTGAACGTAATATGTAATATCAGTGAAGTGCCCCTTTAATGCAAAGTCATTTATTTCAAATTACCTCTAGATCCTTTCTTCTCCTGCAGACACTGTTCAGTGCACAGGCCACATCACTGCCCATGATTGCATTTACATCTGAAGTGGACTACAATAGCTGA